GCCCAGCTGACAATGAAGGAAAGGAAAAATGAAAAGAAAATTAAAGCTGACTTTGATGTATTTTGCATTGAAGAATTTCTGAAGCAGGAAGGGAAAATGTCAGACCTTAATTCCTTCTTGGTTTCTGTGTTCTCTCTTCCAGAGATAGCAAAATATAGAATGTGTATATGCAACATCACTAATAAAGTTGAACTCTTCAACAAAGATGAACTGACAGGTGTAAAATTTCTTTCCAGGTTTCTTTCTAGGCTACTTTATGCTAAACAACAATATGCTACCATCTACATAGAAAATGGACCTCACACTTTCCTGCACCTAAAGGAAAAATATTTTCAATCAATGACAAAAAGTAACATTTTGAAATATGTATATACGTTTGTATTTTGCAAAAACATATACACACCACACACTATATGTCTTGCAAATATATATACACACATTATATACACACATACCCACATATATATTTCCATAATTATATGAAAATTTTTACACCAAAATCATCCAAGTTTGGAGAAGAAAGTTAGGAAAAAGCAAGTTGTGATGCAAGTATTACTCATTTCTCTCTTTACCTCATGAATTAAATTAGCCACACCTTTTCTACTGTAAATATTGATACCTTCTTCTGAGTGGATGTGTGACCAGTACACCCTTGACCCATAAGTCATACTCGGATAAATCCAGAGAGAGCTGAGCAAGGGGCTGCAGTAGGTCAAACTTTTGGCTTTGGAGCACAGGAAGGGGCAGGCTGTCCCCTTGGGTAAGGCACTGCTCAGGGCTCTTCTCCATATGAAGCTGTCTGATGGCTAAAAATAATATTTAAAGCAGAAAATCCCTGCCCAGAGGCAGGTAGCTGCTGTCTTCTTTTGTCTGGGCTGGAAAGCTCCAGTGGTTGGCCTGACAAAAAGCCATGGACTCAGCTGTGATTGCCAAATGGCTGATCCCTCCAGGAACAGGCTGACTAAATCCATTGACTTGGACAGTGACGAGGTCTGGACTCACACCCACAATGCCTAAATTGGGTAACCAGAACCTGTTACCTTAAAATAATTTCCTATGACCTACGGTCCTATTATTATCTCCCATACCACTGTGCAACACTGTTTACGTGTTTGGAAGGTTTGTTTTCTGCAAGGACAGACGCATTCTCTTTTCTCTTTGAGGAAAAGATAGACTTGTTCTCCTTAGAGGAAGTCAAGCTTCCTCTAGGTCATACTTTTTCTGTGGGTCCTTGTTGTGACAGGCCCACACATTTGCCTGCATCCAGTTTAAAGGCTTTTCTCTCTCATTGCAGAGTACCTGCCACAACAGATATTTTGAATCCTTTTCTTTAATCTCCAACCTAACAATCTCCACAAAAGCTCTTTGCATCTCTTTTTACTAATCCCTTCCGTATCCACATTGTAAGGTCCCTGTATCTTTGGTTTATGACCTCTCCAGACTTTCACCAGTGCTGTTGAAATTTTCTATGCTCTGCTCAGAGCTCCCCAGTTTCATCTTTTCCAAAACATGGAATAGCAATGCAGCCCATCACTTGGTGAGTAATGTATCTGCTACGTCTTGTCAGCTGTGGATGTAGCTTTTGAGGTCAAGCAATGTGTCACTTGGCCTCCTCCTGAGGACACTTCTACCATGCCAGCCTCCTCACTGAATGCCACCCTGGCTTCTCCCACACTCTGGCCTGTCACATCTAATGTATGTTCTCAGCATGCTGCCCTAGTGATCTAAGCAGTGGTATTTTTGTGTAAGATTGACTCGAAAAAAGCATTGGGTATATGTGAGATGCAGCACGGCTGCAGGGCAAATCCAGACCAGAGCTAATTGTGCCACTGTTACGCTCAGTGCCTGAGATTAGACAAGCTTGCCTGTAGCTGCCTCCAGCTGAGTTCTGAAAAACCAAAACATTTCTGCTACTTCCCAGGATGAAAGTAAGGGAGAAACACAATTTCCTCATTAAAAACCCCTCAACAACCAGTCCTCCAATCTTCTTTTCTTTAAATATAGTAGTTTCCCAACCTTTATATTGCTAAATTTGGCAGGAGATGATCTTTGTTCCAGAGAAAACAGCTGAATTTACAGGAAATACTACATAAGTACAATCTGATCCCAATGGGCCAGTATTTCTTGTGCCACTTTAAAATGTGGTTTAGATTTTCTAAGTATTTTAAATTCATATTACATATACCCTGTTTGTTCGCATTTAGACAGAGATTCACAAGCTCAGCTGTTCTAGAATATTATTCCAATCTGTTTTTTCTCATCACTGTCTGATGCTCTTCTACCAGCTGGATAGCCAGGGAGGCATTTCCATTTTACTACTGAAAATAAAGTGTAGCAATTGTGTTAAATTGTCCAGTAGTTTTAAAATAAAAAATAGAATTATTTTACTGTGAAAATTTCTACTGCTATTTCACATGCAGAAGTGTAATCTTTCTGTAGGTTACATCAACCTGAATTACATTTTGCTGAAAGGCTTCCAGTACCTATATACAGACAAATTCTAAAGGTAACACCTTCTAAAGGTAGGCTGCAAAACTGCAAAGACAATGAATCCAAGAGTGTGAGGACAAATATGGTACATGATTTCAAAACTTCCCTTCCTATGGAAATGACCTAAAGATGTGAAAGTGGAAGGATATATGCTAAAATCACATCCATAGGCACTCTACTTTTAGACATCTTTCCTTCCTTCATTTATGGTTTCTATTTTGTCTGTGCGGATGGCAAATTCTTGAAAACTCTTCAAGACACGTATCTAAACACAGAGCAAAAATATGTTGCCTGATCCTTCTGTGTTTATTGAAGGTCTTCAGCTGTGGATGCCATGGCTGACTGGGGCTTTGCATTCCTTGGTTAATATTTAATTTGTAGCGTAGCTGCAGCTCACATGGGATCCTGGATTCATTAGTCAGAGATATTTCCCATTAGTCATGAAAAATTTAGTTCAAATAAGCAATAGAGGATTGGACCATTATCTATTATTAATCCTTTTTACAAGCTAAAGTAATTATAAAATGAACAGGTTGCAGTCTTATAAAAAACATAGTCCCAAGTCTTCTCAGAAAGGATAGTTTTTATTTTGTTATTGTCTTTTTGCAGAAAATCAGTAAAAAACAGTCAGGAAAAATACTTCTTAGTTTTGGGCAGGCAAAGTTAGTGTGTTCCATTTACAGGAACATTTCCACTGAAACTCCAAATAGAACCAAGCACTTTAGAAGCCTAGAGTCACAATGAACTAAAAAGAAACTGTAACCATATTAATTTGCTTTATACTATATATGTGTTTAACTCACAATCTGATACATAAACACATACATTATGCAAAAAGACCCACCCCACAAAGAGGTAGAAAAAGCTCTATTTCCTTGGCATGCACAATGTATGTGTCAGACAACAACAAATGACAAATGACTGGGATGGTTGGTGACTTCCACCTTTAACTGTGCTCTATTCATTCACCTGAATCAGTTTAAACCTATTGATTTAAAACTTTTTTTTTTTATTATTAGATTAAGTAAAGTTTGGATGTGTTCCATTACACAGAGCAGCTTTTTTTGCTTATTTGTGTTTGTAGTTTTGGGCTTAATTCCCCTGTGTGCAATTTACTCTCAAGTGCTGCATTCAAGAGGAAAAAAGACCTTAAAGTGGACATAAATTAGATTTGTCTGAGTACAAGGCTCAATCAATATAGTTTAGACATTTGAATAGTTCCTGAAGTCCTGCTGGCACATCTGGGTTTGCTAAACACATGCTGGGGTAAAGCTGAGGAATCAGCTATAACCTCAGGAGACCAGTGTGCTGAGTTTCCATCTAGAGTCAGCGGAGACAGTCTCCAAAATTAACCTCCTTGCAGAGTTTGCTTTTGATTTTTAGGGAATGAGGGCTCCTCACTGTTGCCACCCATGCACTCAGCTGCCCAAACACTGGAAGAGAACTCTGTAGCTGTCTACAGAAAAACGTATTCACACCAATGCTTAAAAATAATAGTTGGCTGTTATTTTAATGTTAAAACTTTGTCTTAGAGCTCTAGACTCCCAAAGGGCATGATACTTCAAGCCAGAACAGGTTAAAGGAGAATAAATTTTGAAGCACATATTACAAATACTTCCACAACAGATTTGCCCACACACTGTAACTATTATCAAATTCATGGTTAAAAGATAGATTCTGGTACCATCACTTTGAAACTGCTCATTTACATCTGCTTTTCCTGCTTAGCAAATTCTACTCCATTTCCCAAAAAAACCCAATGAACCACAGTGAATCAGCATTCAGCACACTTTTTTTTAAGAGCACAAAAACCTGTTTCTGATCATTATCAGGAGTGAAGCCCTTTTACCAAAATGGTTAAGTAAGTGGAAGAAATAGTCTAGAAGGAATGAATCCTACCACTTAAAATTTGATCAAGTGATTCAGCAAGGCTTCTCTGGTCTCCCACTCCAAGTATGACCGTGGCTAACACTATGCCAGTCCAGCTGAGGCTTTATCTAGTGTTGAAAAGATCCAAGGACAGAGATACTAAGCACGGTCCCAGTGTTGCTCTGCTATTTCCATGACCTTAACAGAAAATACTTCTGGTGGTTCAGATGTGCTATGTAAAGCTTCTTCATCTCAAGCAAGTTATGTGTACCAGCATAATTTGAATGAAAACATGGTACATTTACACAAAATTCCATACTTTAAAAGCAACTGCAGATGACTTCACATCTGATAAGGACTAGATGCTTTGACACCTTTCTACATTTTCTCCAACCTCGACTGGGACTCTGGTTTATGCCAGCATGCAGTGTGGTCTCTGCAAAGCTTCCCCTAGTGCCTGGTGGAAATGATGAAAGTCTTTTCACTGCATTCAATCACTTTTGGGTTTGCATTTGTTTTGCTTCTGGAACTACAGTGTTGATTGTTATTGCTGATCCAAGACCAATAGTCCCAGGTTGCTCATGCAGTCAATCCAACAGCTCTGCTTGTTAAATTTTATCTCTTTTTAAACCACTCCTTAGGTTGGAAAAGTCCACAAGAATGCTGCCCGCAAAAGAGAATACCACGTCCTGTTCATGGTGATCACTACAGTTATCTGTTACCTGGTGTGCTGGATTCCATACGGGGTTATAGCATTACTTGCAACATTTGGCAAGCCGGGTGCTGTGACTCCAGTTACAAGCATCATACCTTCCATCCTAGCAAAAAGCAGCACTGTTTGCAATCCCATTATCTACATACTTATGAATAAGCAGGTAAGACATACATTATTTTTAAATTGTATTTTCTTTAGGGTCCATCAGATATTCTTGACCATTGTGACTACCTGTCTTATAGATGTATCTTTAAAGACATTGAAATCTTCTTGTCCAAACAATACTACTGTTTGCAAACAACAGCATATTGCTAGAGAGGAAGAACAGAAAAATGTTAAAATGTTTGCTTACTGAAATTGCTTGTGTTCTTCTGAGGGCACACTGGGTATTAATTTGTATCCTTGTCATGGATTGACTCTGGCACAGTGCCAGTGCCCCCATGAAAGGTGTATTTCCCTTTAGAGTTAGTTGCCAAAAGTATTTATAAGAAGAATACTCAAACATTTGGTTAGGCTGAGGAGCGGGGAGGAAAAATGGACAAGGAGACAAAGGGATTTCATGACTTTGAAAACAAAATAAAAGAGACCATTTGTAAATACTATTATCATGATAGGTCCCCTTGAAACCAAATATCATTGCAGTTACTGTTTTTGTGGACATCTACATCCTTACTATTAAATTCACAGTTCAGCTATATGCCTAAATAGATAACAAAAATTTTGTCTCATGAGCACCAAAACATATTCTAAAATGCCTACACCCAGTTCAGGTCTCTCATTCCTGTAAATGCCATTGTCAGTACTCAAAAGTGAGCCTCCTAATGTTTCTGTGTTGGCAATTCTGACTCTAAATTTTGATAGTGGCAGATCTGGAAGTTTTAAAAGTGTTTTACAGTAGGAAATCTGAAAAAATATGCATAGTTAATGAAAACTTTTTTTATTAGATTACATGTTAGAGGTTGTTCTCAATTTTCTTTCTTCATTGTGTCCATGACATTATTACAAAACAAAGAAACACCCTTTATCTTTTCTTGCTCAGTGTATGCTGGAGCCCACGCTTAGCATTTATCAAGAGCAGCATTATATTATTGTGGAGCTGAGACGAAGGAAGAGTTAAAAGTAACAGCCAAGTATATTCAAGTTTTGCCACAGCCTGAGATCATTCTTGGCCAACTTCATGTAACCTAAATTTCTTAAACAATAAAGAATCTAATCTTGGAATTTGAGGGGAAATCTCAAGCAAGCTGTGAAACCTTGAAATCAGAAGGAAAAAGTTCTATTGTCTTCCCCAAGACCAGGGCTTAATTTCCAATGTCTAGTTTGAGCTGGCATTGAAGCAAATAGAACATTAAATTTGAAAGTGTTAATGCTGAATGAAACCAGTAACTTTCCCCCTTTACCTTTTACGATCCTTATGAAAACTTCTCAACAGCAGCATCTGCCTTGCTTCTTTATTCTCTGAACACTTTGACTGAGGTCCTTGACTGGGAGATAATCTGATTGTGCTGTGATCACTGGAACAGGTTATATAATATTGATAGCAGATACATTTGGCATTGTCTTTACACATGGAGATGTAATGAGCCACCCTGAAGGGGAGGAGCTTGATCAGATTTGGGATAGATACTTTTTACTAATCAAACCAAAATGATAGCTAATGTGCAGCATTAACCTGCAGCTCTCCTCTGCTGTGCCACTGTGTATTAGCAGTGAAAATAATTGGTTTCACCTGACACTGAGAAATGTGCTTCACTCAAGAAGGTGAAACCCATCCCTTTGTCTGCTCCTCCTCGTTTCAGAACAGGAACAATAGTAACACCCCCATACAATGCGTCACTGTGTTCTTGGCACCTCTGCAGCTGTTCTCACACTTTCTTGTAAATTTAACACCTCAGCAAAAGAAGTTGTTCATCTTCCTGGCACTCATCTTCTCTGGTCTTCATGCTTAGCTGAGAATTGTCACAGAAGGCTGGTGCCTCCCAACACAGAAATTATCTGGTCTGCATTTTTCACAGTTCTGTTTGCAGATATGAGGTACCACAGTAGGGTATTTACTCCCACCCCTTGAAAATACACAGAACATACGGCAGAATTGTTGGCTCTCTATGTATAAGTCTTTTTGCTCTGGGAAGTGCCCCAGAGACTGGAAAATGGTGTTGGTTGACTGCAGTTGTGGAGTTAGCTTCCAGCTGTCATAAATCTGTGCAGAGTATTGTGGAACCATCAGCCTCTGAGTCAGCTTTAAAACTCATCGTATAGAGCACATCTTTAAATTAACTCTCAAGCAGTCCCTGAGTCACTTTCATGGTCCTGGAAATCTAGAGAAATAGTTTTGTCTTTGGCATTGCCTACTGCACTGACCCGAGGTGGTAAATCACTGAGGAAAATAATGAATTTCTTTCCAGCTGCAGGAACTCCCTCAGATGGGATGGCATGAGGCATGCTTCTGTCCTTCTTCCTGTGCTGTCCTCCAGGAGGAGAGAGAAGCACTGTTTAAGCTGGATTGTTACTGGGCTCATAACATGCCAGGCAGACATCAAGATTCACTGACAAAACTAAAGCACTAAACTGCCTGAGACCGAATGAGGCTGGGGTGAAGCTGGAGGAGACAGTAGAGGAGATCCCATTTTCCCTGTTCTCTCTTTATGGAAGGCTCTTTTGGCCCTTGGCAATATGACTGTTTATGCCTGGGGCAGTTTCCCCAAGGGTCAGGTCCCAAAAAGGCAGCACACAGCCAAGCAGCTGGGCAAGGTCAGCATGCACTTTCAGTGCATCAATCCTTTATAATTATATAGTTAATGTAGTTGTGCAGATTTTGTTTCATCTTCTCCTCCCTCTCTCAGTGTCTTTTACTCCCATCACACATCCCTGTCAAGTTCCCATTGTTCAAATTTCCACCCATGCAGCCACCCCAAACAGATTTTTAATGACAGCTCTGACTACCTTCCTTTCACCATGATGGTGCTGACAGAGAGAGAACCCTGCTCTTTTACATGTAACATTGCAAACAAGTATTAAGCATTCACTCAGGAGATATGGAGTTTCTCTGTAGCCATGGGTTTGCTGCTGCTGAGGTGATCACTGGGAGAATCCTGCTCTTGTGTGTTCCACAGAACAGCGCGGGAACCCCAACATGGAAGTGCTTTCTGGCTGCTATAACTGTGCATGAGGACATACTGCACCAAGAAACAGGGATTATTAGATGGATAGCATAATGGTGTGGCAGCTTCAGAGGTTCATCTTGTTTTTTATGTATCAGAAATTAATTTTTTATTGATGTAGAAGTCAAGATACTAATAATGAATGTTCAAGAAGATGTGGTTATGGATGAGATAACAGTGAGATTGAGTGAATCTCCACTCATTTCACAAAATTTGAAGATGGGACTCAGAGAAAATAGAAATTTGCTGCATTTCTACTGACAGCCAAATTTAAGTGAAGTTTAAACCTGTATCACTTATAGATCTAAAGAACCAATTGTTTGAAAACTACAGATGATTTTACAAGTCATAATCTTTGCTGAAGCAAAATAGCCTTGCTCCCCTGCAGCTCATGAGCTTTACACTAATTTCTTTCACATTTTTTGTTGCTCAGATAGTGCACCTAAGTCTCCCTGGACTACTGAAACTCAGGCTAGAACATCTAATACTCTGTTGCATATTACAATTGGATAAAAGTCCACTCACACCATGTGATCAGTAATGTGCTATTTCTGGTGTCAGAAAGTGCCTCTGAGCAAAATAAGGAGGGAGAGTGTGAGGAAAGGGATGTATTAAATGTGAATATAAGTCCCTGATTAGTGATTTGATTTCTAGTGTCTGTCTTCTTGTATTAAACTCATTGCACTTTCAAAAAATAGGTGACCCTCTCATTTTCCCCAAGGATCTTGAGAAGTGATGCTCAAAAGAATATACACACTTACTTGAAAGTCATTACTACTGTGATCTTTCCAAATTTATCATGTAATGGAGCATGATGGGTAAGGAAGAAATTAAGGAGAAAGAATGCTAAAACTAAGACTTTTTTTTTTTTTTTCTGAAAAGATTTGAATAATAACGATAATGATGTACTTAGGGAGTGTTCTTCAATGGGACCTGAGCCCAACATCACACACCAGACACCTCCCAGGCACCTCTGCTGTGGCTCTGACAGTTCCTAGGAAGCAATGCAACTCCCTCTTACCTAATGAGTGACTTGTTGCTCAGGCCAGCCTCCTCTTCCAGGGCCTTTGTGGAACTTCCCAGCTGCCGGATGAATAACAAAGAGTTTTTCTGTCCATAATAATAATTTATTTGTTCTCTGTATATGCAGTTTTCTAGCACCCCTTTTCCGTCCTTGATTGTACCTTTTGTACTGAACAGGGAGAAATGCAGATGAGCTTTGGGAAAGGGATATACACATGATCATGATAAAAAAAAAATAACCTTAACATTCTTCCACTGGTTGTTATAACAGCTATATTTTCAGCCATTTTTCATAGGGTATTTTGCAGTTTTCAGTATTTCCAACAAAAGTTAATGGCTAACTTTTAAAGCTGGAGGAATATGTGTGTAAGTTAACAGTGTATTTTATAAGTTGCTCGTTTTCACGTTTGGAAAAAAAAGTTATTTTAGCTGTGTGAGAACACAGAACTACAGATCCAGAAAGACAGTATGCAATTCAGGAACAATTGTGCCAAATTTCATTTTATACATAAATTGGGACACTTCTGTTAAGTCCTGAAAAGAGTCCCTTGTTTGCTTAGTTCAAACCTTTGAGAGGTTTGTGGAGTTACCATAGAATTTATTATACTGTTATAATTTTTCATTAAAATTCACTTAGATTTCAATACTCATGATCTGTTTTTTTTTGTGCTCTTTCACTGGTAGCTAAGCAGTCTTTGAGTAATTAGTAGTCCAAAGAGAATGGCACACCTGAACTCTTCAGTTGAAAATAGGTCAAGTCAAAATGATCTCTTACTGCAGAATACTCTAGTACAGCTCAGAAATGTTTTGACTTCATTTCTCTGCCAACATGTAGTGTTATGACTTTTTAAAGCAGAGGGGCAAAGAGAAAAAGGTCTCAAGGGCACCTTTGCTGCTGTAATAAGGTGTAATTGCATTTCACACAGTAAGTTTTAAATTACTTTATGAATTTCTCTTGTAGCTCATGACAAAAAGA